CAGCGGGCACTCTCCAGGTAACGATGCTGGCGGAAGCAGAAGTCGGCCTCCCGGGCCAGGACCGTGTCCAGGCAGTCAGGCCGCTCTCGGCAATACTCTTTGGCCAGGTCGAAGCGGTTCATGTCCAGGTAGGTGCGCCAGACATCCCGGGCCTCCCGCTGTACCTGGTAGCGGAAGACGGCCCGCTCGGTGTGGGACCACAGGTGGCCTGTGGAGGAGTCCTTCACCATGTGCTTCAGCGGCCCAAACTTCTCCAGGAAGTGGTCCCGCAGCACCACCTGCCCCGTCAGCGTGCACACCGCCTCCACCCGGTCCGCCAGCAGCAGCAGGAAGTGGAACTGGGTCAGGACGATGGCCAGGGGTGGGCTGGCCCCAGGACCCACCCCCTCTGGGTACTCCCAGACCCGCTCCTCACTCAGCAGGGAGTCGGGACGCCCACAGTCCAACGAGCCATACAACACGCCATCCCCCATCATCCAGGCGAAAGCCCGGGGTGCAGAGCGCAACTTGGGGGTGTAGAAGGCCAACTCACTGTAGCCCAGACTGCTGGGGAACTCACGGAATGGTGGTGGGTGGTCAGTGTAGGCAGCAAAGAGCCCTGAGAAGCCCTGGGCCTCAGCTCCCTCGGCTGCTCGGCCTATGAACTGGAAGAGGCGCTGCCGAGTGGTGGCGATGACAAACCCACGCCCTTCAGGGCCCCGCTCCGCCTCGAGGGAGCACACAGGTGCTGGGCCCCCTTCTTCGTTTAGCACATACAACGGACGGAAGTAGAGATCCGGGGCAGGGCCGAAAAGCCCACCCTCGCTGGCCGAGAGCTCTGCTTCAAAGATCTGGCCTTGGGTAGTGCCGACCAGGATGGGGCCTGTGCTGCTCTCAGTACCCAGGGCCTTGTTCCAGCCCACACTCTCCACCAGCTGCCCCTTCCAGCGTGCCAGGGGCCGAACTTTCTGTCCATTACGGTTCACGTAGAGGACCTCAGTGCTGCTCAGAGCGATCAGCAGGTGAGAGCCTGGAGTGGGGGAGAGCATGGCACCCTAGAGGATGCTGCCATTCCCACACTCAGATCCCACCCACCCAGGCAGTGACCTACCCTCAACACCCCCCACCCCCTACCCCCATCTCAGAACTCTACCACCACTTACCAGTAGGGTCCAGGAACATCTTGTGAACTTTGGCATCATCCTTGCGCCCCAGCTCCATGTGGTTGGGTTCATTTGCTTTGCCTAAGTCAATGCTGTTGGGACAAGAGTCACAGCCTCACTCCAGAGAAGGGCAGATCCTTCTGTTGAATCACAGACCTCTTTATAATCTGATGAAAGGCACAGCCTTTCTTCCCTGAAATCTACATAGACACACAAAATTCTGAATACAATCCCAAGGGAACTCTGAAACACATGTGGGGTCCTCCTTAAGAACGCTCAGCTCTGAGAACACCCCCACTTCATTCTGAGAAGTCACTAAGCAGAAGTCTTTTCCTTCTGCTCAACATACCTCCAGTGCATCTAGGAAGATAGGCAGGGGTATCCCAGAATGCCGGGGTAAAAAGGGAACAACAAATAGTAGCTAATGTTTACTGAGCATTTTCTATATACCAAGCACCATGCCAAGAGCTTGAGCTAGTATGACCTTAACTAACCTTCACAATAACCTTGAGGAGTGCTCCCTTAAGATTATTTCCTATTTAAGGTATTTCCCTTATTAAATTCTTTTCAAATTATATGCTCATTCTAACTAAAGAATCAATACAACAGTGTATGAAGAAAAAGTTAATGATTTTCTTCCCAAACTCCTATTATTCCCAATGGAAAAAACTGATGTTAACATCTTTCTCCATGTTCATAATATAAACAAGCTTATTTTATCAGTTTTTACAAAAATGTTTTCACATTGTATATATGTGTGTGTATGCATATTAATTTATAATTTGCTTTTCTCACTTAATGATATTTCATGAACATCCCACTGGGTCAACAGATACAGCTAACTCATTGTTTTAATAACTGCATAATATTCCCTTTTATGGGTGAACTATAACTTAATCATTTTCCTATTGATGGATATGCAGCTTGGGTCCAGTTTTTCCTACCACAAATACTGCTGGAATCAACATCCTTGTATCTATACCTTTGTAAACTGGTACTTTTCTTTCTATGGTATGTATTCCCCAAAGTGGGACTGCCAGGTCAAAGTTATAGATATTTCAGTGTTTAACAGACATTGCCAGATTATTTTTCCAAAAGATGGTGGCAATTTATACTCTTTCCAGCAATGTATGAGAGTCCATCTCTGTGTATCTTCACCAGCATCATAGATTGCTATTTAAAATTTTTGCTAATCTGATAGGTTGAAAAAAAATGATATCTTACTGTGATTTTGATTTGCATTTCCCACAGGCTGAAAATTATTTTCAGATGTTTACTGGAAAATTTGCAGTTCCTCTTCTGTGAACTGCTTGTTTATCTTGTTTACCCTCCCTTTTCTACTGAACCGTCTTTTTTCGTTGTTTTTTTTTTTGGCTGCACCTCACAGCTTGCGGGATCTTAGTTCCCCAACCAGGGACTGAACCTGGGCCCCAGCAGTGAAAGCGCCGAGTCCTAACCACTGGATCACGAGGGAATTCCCTGGACTGTCTTTTTCTTATTAATTTCTAAGGGCTTTTTAAGGAACAGGAATGTAAATCTTCAGTCATATGTAGAAAAACATTATTTTCCCACCATCTTTTGTCCTGACCTGCTTCATATGCTTTTTTATTTTTATTCTGTCATAACAGCAATCACTATGTGGTCAAATCTATCTACCTTTTCCCTTGTGGATTCTGGATTTTCCAGCTTGAGTAAGAAGGTCTCTCTTCAGCCCAAGAACATTGAAATTTATTAAATATTCTTTTAACATTCACACTATTTTTTATATTCAAATAATTATTCCACTTAGAATTCATTTTTATGATACAGAGGTTTAGCTCTGTTTCATCCCAGATGGTTATTCTGGATAGATAAACAATTTTGCTGACACCTTTGTCATATATTAGTTCCATTTACTTATACTATATATTTCCAGTTTTATTGAGATATTTTATTTCCATTTATAGTGGATCTATTTCAGGACTCTAGACCGTTTCGCTTATCTACATGACTAACTTGTGGGTTGGTACTGTCTTTAACAGATGAAGGGATGTGTTCAGAAAGACTGGATGACTTTCCATCCCTGTTAAGTGGGAGAGCTGAGCTCAGAGTCTGGGTCTACTACTCTACTGGTTCTCTTTAGGAAGGGATAGGATATTTCCTGAACATTCCAAATCCACTGTTTAACCTGCCCAGAGTGGAAAAAAGGCCCGGTCAGTCAGTAGTTCCAAAATACCACCAATCCACTCCCTACTCCTAAACCTTTTGGGTCCTCACTTACCGGAGTAGTGTATCCTTGCCCAGGCTCATGCAGAGCTGATTGCAGGAGACGACAAGACTGGTGATACGCTCAGAAGGGGTAAAGTCAATGCGCTGCCTCGTGAAAATGGGCACTTCCTTCTCTAGCTGGGCATTCACATATCCTAGGTGAGGAGCCAAGGAAAAGTTAGCTATGGAACAGAGGGAGGAAGGGCAACATATTGCTCTCCACCTTCCCAACATATTGCTACCCCGGGACCTTGGTTAGCCACCACTTGAATACCAATATATCAAGCAGTTTGCTAATCACCTCTACATTAGTCTTAGGCTACATTAGGGGTTCTGGGCTCTTCCCACATCTCTGAAATCAGTGAGGGGTTGATTCTTTGAACCCTTGGGATGCTGTTACACCATGATATACCTGCTCCCAGTGGTAATCGGGTGGGTGGGGAAGGGTTGGGTGTTCTCCCTTAACAATCTTTGGCCAAGCAATCCCAGCTCAACTAAAGTAGTCTAGTTCCGCTCTCTCCCCTCCTCCTTGCCCATGCAGTAATACTCTCAGTGAGTCTCCAGAAGAATGAGGGTGGAGGGATCCTTGGGGAATGCTTCCAATCAGTTGGTTAAACTGCTGCAAAAACTTCCCCTCAACGCCCAGCTGCACACAGCTCTAGCAAAAGCCTAAAGTAATTCATTTTCCCCTGTTCAGTGACAAAGTTCCCTCTAGGACCATCCCTCCTTCCCCTACGACACTCCCATTTCACCAGTTCTTTGCCCACTCTTTTCCTCCCACCTCCAGAAGGGGCCTGGTGGGAAAAACACTGAATCAGATGAAGCCTATTCTCATCTGAGCCTATTCTCATCTGAGCCTATTCTCAGTTTTCCCAACTGCGGCCCTGTAAGCAAGACACTTCCTTATCTGAGTCCCAGTTCCCTCTTAGAAGGACCCTAGTGGCAGGGCCTAGATCACGCGGCTGCTCTTGCTGCTCTTTCAATCTTCGACCATCCACCAGCTGGGGGCCATAAGTGCCTGAGGAGAATCAAGGGCCTAGGCCCAGACTGCACGTCCAGGAGGTGAACCCGAGCTCCTGGAGCCAACCCCTCCGCTCCTCTCTTGCAGATGCCGGGAGAGCTAAGAGGTGCAGCGGCGCCCTCACTTCCCTTACCCGAGTGGGGGATGCCGACGCTGGGGCAGCCGGGCTGCAAGACGGCCGAGCGGGAGAGGGAGTCCTCGTATTCATCCAGGATAGACGCCATGGTGCCCGGCCTGTGGGTCCTCCGTCTTGGGCCCAGGGATTACAACAGGGCTCCCCCCAGGGATCCCCGTCTCCCCGGATTGGAAGCTGCGACTCCCCAGCCTCGACAGGGATCTGACAGATCCTGGCAATCCGCCGCCGACTCCTCCTCTTTAAAATCCTGAGGATCTTCTCACTCTCGCCTTATAGAGCGAGAAGACCGGGGAGCTCTCCCCCTTGAATCTGGCGCAGTACTGCACCCAACTCCCGCCCCCAGGAGATCACCGGCTCTCCCTAGCCGATCTCAGGTGATCCCAACCTCGCCCGAGCAGCTCAGCTGACTGCCGCCCCCGGGACGCGCGCCTTTAACGTCATTTCCGGGTTCTCAGATGCCCACGTTTGCTCCCGCAGAGAAGTCGCGAGGCCGGTCCTTGGGAGATGCGGTGAGGACTGCGGCGGGAGGGCGGGGCCGGGGTGGTGGTGGTGTCGGGGGCTGGGCAAGGCCTATCCCGCTCTCGAGGGGCGTCGGGTGGGGGAGCATTGCACATGTCCGAGCTGTAGACTAGCTGGGTGGTGGGCGGGCCCCGCTGAACACAGGCCCCTCTGGACCCTGCTGCAGTTCCAGGCTTTGACACCAGGAGGCAATCCCAGCTTTCTCAAACCCCCTTCCCCCACCCGCCCAGCGCAATCTACCCCCAGACAAGGAGCGGGTCCCCAGCACCTTTCAGGCCCAGGCTTCCCTCCCTCAGAAGACTGCTCAGCCTCTCTGTCCAGCTCCCGCTCCCACCTTTTAAAACAGCCCGTTGGGGACATCCCTGGTTGCGCAGTGGTTAAGAATCTGCCTGCCAACGCAGGGCACACAGGTTCGAGCCCTGGTCCGGCAAGATCCCACATGCCACGGAGCAACTAAGCCCATGCGCCACAACTACTGAGCCTGCGCTCTAGAGCCCGTGCTCTGCAACAAGGGAAGCCACCACAATAAGAAGGCTGCGCACTGCAGGAAGAATAGCCCCCACTTGCTGCAACTAGAGAAAGCCCGTGCACAGCAACAAAGACCCAGTGCTGCCAAAATTTTTTTAAAATAAAATAAATAACTTTTAAAAATAAATAAATAAACAGCCCGTTGCCCTAGGTCCCCAAGAGAACCTCCCGTTCTTCAATCTAATCGCCATCGTAATCCTACCTTCACAAGGCACTGGCCTCTCTTCTCCCACATCCAGGGGCCCACCAGGTCCAGAAAGTGGCAGAGCTGGTGGCTTGGCCAGCAGGAAGCCATGCTCGTGACGTGTACCCAGGAACATGGCCACAGCGCTGTGGGAGCACGCAGGAGCGGGTAAGAAATGCCTGAAAAGCCTGGCAGGAACGAGAGACAAGAGATGTTGGAGGCGGGTGGGGAATCCAGAGAGGCGGAACAGCGAGAGTTTGGGTGCAACTGCTGTTGGGTTTCTCTCTTCCACCGGCCTAGGCGACCCAGACGGAGTCTGTTCCCTTCTGGGGCCCATGGGCCTTGCTACCTTGCTAAAGTGAAGGCTCTAGGCCAGGGTCACCGGTGTCCTGGCTTTAACTGGTAGCCCGAGAGTAATGACTAAGCGCGCCTCCTGTATTCTCAAAAGCGTCCAGGTGTGCACCGTACACTGTGTGGTTATGCTTTTCTTGCCGAACTTTCCTGATAGGCGCAGAGGACTGGACCCTCACCAGCCCTCACCGAAGGCTCTCTGGGCCTGCAGTGGCCCCGGCCTGGTTCGTGGGCCAAAATAACTTCTCGCTGCTCCCGGGTCGGCTTCTCCTGCCCGAAACCTGCGGCCACGACGCGGCTGTACCGCCAGGGGCGCTGCGCGGCAGGCTAGGTCCCAAGAGGGAGGGTGCCCGAGCTGGGAGGTAGGGAGGTTTCCGCCTTGGGAATAGTGATCCCAGCTTGGGAGCTGCTAGTTTGTAAGGCTCCACCCCAGATCACCTGCCGGCTGCATTTAGGGAAATACAGATAGGTCCAGACAGAGGTCAAATAACCAGAAATACCTTTTCTGAGTAACCCACGATGTGCCAAGCACCACACTAAGTTCCTAATATTCATTGTTATTTCATCTTCACACTAATGCTGTGAAATAGGCACTGCCCTTTTCCCCACATTATGAAACCGGCAACTGAAATTCAACATGGTGGAGCAATTTGTCCACGGTCATGTGGCCAGGAAGTGGGGAAGCCAGGAGGCAATATTCAAATCCAAGCAGATGCTGAAGGGTTCACCACCACACTCTCCATGATGCCAGTACAAGCTGAGGGAAGGGGTATACAACTGGATCCTCAGGTCTGCACTGTGCAGAGAGAATGTCCCCCCTGCATGGAGTGGTTAGCATAGGAGGGGTGTCTCAGGGACACAGAATCCTTCCAGCCACCTCCTCACTGTCCCCAGAGTCTCCCTCTTGGTTCCACTGCTCTCTGGGATGTATGGGGTGGGGCCTAAGTGGGCCTTGCTTGCTACAGATTCAGTACATACTCTCTGTTGAGTTGATTACAGCAGTTTTCCCCCACATACTCATTCTTTAATGTTAGGCTGGACTTTGGAGTAAGAGTCAGAGACCAGCCTTCTTATTCCTGCCCAGTCACTCAGTAGCTGTGACACTGTGTGCATTTGATGCTCTTAGCTTTGGTCTCCTCATCTACAGAAATAGATATAATGATACCTAGTAGGTCTGCGTTGAAGAGTAAATGAGGTGATCTAGGTGAAAGTTCCTTGCGATAGCACAATCCAACGTAGAGCATGTGCTCAATAAACTCTAAATGTGGCTTTAATCTGACAGTGGACTCTCAAGTCCACCATCTCCATGAAGCCTCTCTGGACCACAACTTCTCCCTCATAACTGCTATGGCTTTCCTTGCATCAATCTCTACTGGCACCTAATTATGAAACATGGGCATTTTGCTTTTACATAACAGAAGCTGACTGAGGGGAATAACTCAGACATTCCTGAGCACCCAGAATACAGAGATGCCTTAGGGAACTCACAGCTGGAGATACAGATCCACCAGCTCTGACCCCTCAAAACCCATGTGGTAGTTGCTATGAGACAGGTAAGGGCTGACTGCTGGGCCAGGGAGGGAGAACACTGGTGTATGAAAGCTGATGCATTTGAGTTAAGACTTGAAGTGCGTGTATGATTTCCAAGGGTAAAAAAGGGAAAGCATTAAGCAAGCCTCAAGAAAACCAAGAGCAGAGACCTGCAGACAGTGTGATGTTGCAGGTGGGTGTGGGGGAGCTGGAGCACTGGGAGTAGGGCAGTGGGAGAAATGGGACCGGTTGTAGCTACATTGTGAAAGCTATTGAATAGCCATCAGAAGGTTTTGGCTGGGGATGAAACCATCTGATGTGGGTTCTGGAAAGATGGGTGGAGGCTTGGGTGGAGTCCACATCAGAGAGGATGAACTCTAAGGAGACATTTCTGAGGAAGGGTCACTGAGCTCAGTGTCAAGTTAAACACTGGGGGGAGGGAGGCCAGGGAGGAGGCCAGTGCAGGACTGCTCTTGAGACACCTGGCAGATGGTACAGTAACAACTTTGGGAGGAGGAGGAGCTGGGGGTGGGGTGGGGGTGGGGGGAGCAGAGGTCACATGCTTGAGCTCAGTCTGGATGGTTGCACTTGAGGCCCCTGCAGGTATTTACTCCAAGAGACCCAGCACCTGTAAGGCATTCACTAACTAATTGTTTATTAAACAACTGCATGAATGAGCTTTCTCATGCTTCAGTTTCTAATCTGTAAAAGGAGAAAAATCTACCTTGTAGCATTGTATTATAGGATACTATGTAAGTCACTCTGTGCCTGCCTAAAGCTAGATAATGCTCAATACAAGTTAACTATAGTAGTAATTGTTGACTGAATGAAGACTGGGACCGAAAGAAATAATTTAATTGACTTAAGAGAGTAATTAGTTTGTTTTTTCTTTTCATTGAAAAACAGTCTACATTCTTTTTTTTTTTTGGCCGTGCGTGCGGCATGTGGGATCTTAGTTCCCTGACCAGGGATTGAACCTGTGCCCCTGGAGTCCTAATCACTGGACCACCAGGGAATTCCCCAAAAATAGTCTACATTCTTTATTCTACCTCAGAGTATCGGAGACTGTTTCTGACTAGGAAGCCTTAGGCTGATAGTAGATCTGTTTTTTTTATTATTATTATTATTGAAGTATAGTCAGTTTACAATGTTGTGTTAGTTTCAGGTGTACAACAAAGTGATTCAGTTATACATATTTTTTTCTCAGATTCTTTTCCCGTGTATTGAGTAGAGTTCCCTGTGCTATATAGTAGGTCCTTGTTGTTTATCTATTTAGTACATAGTAGTGTGTATATGTTAATCCCAAATTCCTAATTTTTCCCTCCCCCCTACATTTCCCCTTTGGTAACCATATATTTGTTTTCTATGCCTGTGAGTCTGTTTCTGTTTTGTAAGTAAGTTCATTTGTATCATTTTTTTAGATTTCACATATAACTGGTATCATATGATATTTGTCTTTCTCTGATTTACTTCAACTTAGTATGATAATCTCTAGGTCCATCCATGTTGCTGCAAAGTAGTTCTTTTGTTTTTGTTTTTTTAAAAATTTATTTCTGGTTGCGTTGGGTCTTCGTTGCTATGTAGGGGCTTCCTCTAGTTGTGGCGATAGGGGGCTACACTTGGTTGTGGTGCGTGGTCTTCTCATTGCAGTGGCTTCTCTTGTTGTGGAGCATGGGCTCTAGAGCTCAGCCTCAGTAGTTGTGGCACACAGGCTTAGTTGCTCCACGGCATGTGGGATCCTCCCGGACCAGGGCTCGAACCCGTGTCCCCTGCATCGGCAGGTGGATTCTTAACCACTGCGCCACCAGGGAAGCCCAGTAATTAGTTTTTTTAAAAGAGATTTTGTTGTTGTCGTTGTTGTTGTTGAGACTTTCTTTTTTTAGAACGTTTTTACATTTATAGAAAAAGTGAGAAGATAATGGAGAGTTTCCATAAACTTCACATCGTTTCCCTTATAAACATCTTCCATCAGTATGGTACATTTGTTAAAATTCGTGAACCAAAATTGATACATTATTTTTAACTAAAGTCCATACTTCATATTTCCTTAGTTTTTACTTAATATCTTCTTTCTGTTCCAGTATCCCATCCAGGATATGACCTTGTATTTAGTCATCATGTCTCCTTAGGCTACTCTTGACTGTGGCAGTTTTTCAGACTTTTCCTTGTTTTAGGTGACCTTGACAATTTTGAGGAACACTGGGTAGGTAGGATGCTCTCTATTGGAATTTGTCTGATATCTTTTTTTCATGATTAGACTGGGGTTATGGGGTTTTTGAGAGGTAAAGTACCATTATCATCACATCATATCAAGGGTACATATCATCAACATGACTTATCACTGTTGATGTTGACCTTGATCCCCTGACTGAGGTTTGTCAGGTTTCTCCAGTGTGAAGTTACTCTTCCCCTCCTTTCCAGACTGTACTCTTTGGAAGGAAGTTACTATGCACAGACGAGACTTAAGGAGTGGAGATTTATGCTCACTTGAGGGTAAAGTACAAATCATTTGGAATTCTTCTGTGTGGGAGATTTATGGATTTGTTTATAAATTTAATTTTTTATTTTAATCATATATATGATTAAATATATGTGTGTGTGTATATATATACAGAGAGAGAGAGAGAGAGAAAGAGAGCTGTAAGACTTATTAAGGAAACAGAGCAGTCCTTTGCCTCATACCCAGTTAAACTCCTCATCAGGTCTGTTCTTATCTCTCAGTGCTGATCTAAGGATATTGCCAAAATGCACCCCACCCCTCCAGACACCTGAGTATTCGGTTTTAGGTGTTTGCTCCCTCCAGACTGGCTTCTTCCCTGGTACCCCTCCCCTTGCCAGGATCAGGGCCCCTCCTGGGTGCTCCCTCAGCCCTCTGTGCTGATCACCCCACATTATGATCTCCCTGCATTACAACTGCCTAGTAACTCCTCTCTCTCTTTCTTTCTCTCTCCCTCTCTTCTCCCTCCCACCTCTCTCTCCTCTTCCTCCATCCCCTCCTTCCCCTCTCCCCTCTTCTTCCTCCCCCTCCCACTTTCTTCCCTTCCCTCCCCCTCCCTGGGCCAACTGTGTACAGTATAAGCTCGCTGAAGGCAGTGACAGGTGACTTGCAGACCTCCTCCTGCCACAGGGCTGGCACATTGTTGGCTTCTGCTAAAATATGCTGAAAGAAAGAAGGTCCTTGGCTCACTCAGAACACCTCTTTACAACCCTTTGTAAGAGGTAAATTTCTTCTTCTTCCTGTTTGATTCCCTTCCAGATGTTTCCAAATCTACCTAAAATAGTCCCAGTTCTCAAAAAGCCTTCTCCCCTCCCTGTTACTGTCATTCCTTCTCTCACTGAGTGACAAAGCCCTGCCCAAGGCATGTATAGACTCAGCCTGCCCTCTTTCTTCCCACCACCTTCCAGGGTTGTGAAGACCCCAGAGAAGCCACTGGGTGAGAGGGGATAGGACACTTTTTTCACCTCTCTAGGTGGGAAATGAAGGCATCCTCAGGTCAGTGGTCCTGAACTGGGGTTCACAGGTCCTTAGGGGTATGGAAGGCATCCTCAGGTCAGCGGTCCTCACACTGGGGTTCACAGGTCCCAAGGAGAGCACACCAAATAGTTTTAAGGGAATAAGTGTCCAGAGTTTCCCTGGGCCAAAAGTGACCATCAGGAGACGGCCCCTGGGAGCAAGGTCTTATCCCCTTCCACCTCCCCTGCTCCTAACTCTTCAGAACAAAAGTGCACCACTCACCCACCAGGATGGTGAAATGGAAACCACTCCACCCCATGGTACATTGCTTCAGGGCATAAAAATCTTCCAGGAGCCCAGCAAAGAGACCACTGGAATTATTGTTGGTGTCCCCACAAAGAGAATAAAGACCAAGTGACAAGAAAACATCGAACGGTTTCTAATTCGCTAATTCGAATACGATTTGAGAACCTAATCAAACTTTAGTTAATTGAAAAAAAATTGCTAACGGGGACTTCCCTGGTGGTACAGTGGTTAAGAATCCGCCTGCCAATGCAGGGGACACGGGTTTGAGCCCTGGCCTGGGAAGATCCCACATGCCGCGGAGCAACTAAGCCCGTGTGCTACAACTGAGCCTGCACTCTAGAGCCTGCGAGCCACAACTACTGAAGCCCGTGAGCCACAACTGCTGAAGCTGGCGCACCTAGAGTCGGTGCTCTGTAACAAGAGAAGCCACTGCAACAAGAAGCCCACGCACCGCAATGAAGAGTAGCGCCCGCTAGCCACAACTAGAGAAAGCCCCGCGCGCAGCAACGAAGACCCAACACAGTCTGAATAAATAAAACATCATTAAAAATAATTGCTAATATTTTTGGCATATAATTTGGAAGGGAGTCAAATAATCAAGTAATATTGCTATACCAAACCTCCTTCCATTCCCGTCTAAAGATGTATGTGAACAAGGTTTCTCTGCACTTACATTAAACAAAACAAAACAAAAACGTAAGAGAATTGATGCTGAACTTTGTCGCATTCAAGCATTCTATCCATGAATGCATAAACTGATTGAAAACAAAACCAAAAGAGCCTGATGCATCTCATCAAAAAATGTATTTCTTGGGCTTCCCTGGTGGCGCAGTGGTTGAGAGTCTGCCTGCCGATGCAGGGGACGCGGGTTCGTGCCCCGGTCCAGGAAGATCCCACATGCCGCAGAGCGGCTAGGTCCGTGAGCCATGGCTGCTGAGCCTGCGCGTCTGGAGCCTGTGCTCCGCAACGGGAGAGGCCACAACAGTGAGAGGCCAGCATACCGCAAAAAAAAAAAAAAAAAAAAATGTATTTCTTGTATAATTTTACTTTTTATGTGTAACTATATCAAAATGTGTAATATATTTATGTTTTGATGAGTTGAATAATTATAATGATAATTTAATTCAAAAGAAAACAATGTTAAGACTTAGAGCCTCAAAGTCACCAGATATATAACATTATAACGTTAAAAAATGTATATACTAATTACACCCAATTAGGATAAGGTACCAATAAAACTTTCAGTTTTAACTTTCAGTCATAACATACGTTACAGTAAGATTGGGAGCACTGAAAGAGAAAATAAATAACATAAACTTTCCAACTGTTAAAGGAGAGCTTGTTCACATTATTTTAAATGGATGTGTTAGAATATCAAACTCCTTTGGTATTTTAGACTCCAATGTGTATATGTAAAAGAATGAGGTCATAGTACGCTACAGGTGACGTTCTCTGCAGCTATGTGGTATTAAGATGAAAAGTTTTAGTTGTCAGTACCTACAGTTTTATACACTTCTAGGGAGTCTGGGAGTCTTGGTGGGGTGCATGCTTTGGACCAGCACCACCTCTCCAGGAGCCCCTCCCAGGCTGGCCGTTGCCCTCCCCACCACCCTCCCGGGCTGTTTCTCCAGACCCCCTTCTTCTCAGGATATGGAAGCTAACTCAGCCAGATGCTGCTGAACAAGTCACCTGGCCCCTCTGAACTCCTTGTATTTCCTCAACTGTAACTGGTGAGGGTAGAACTAGACCATCTCTAACAGTCTGTAGTTCTCTGAAAGCCAAACCCTTCTCACAGTCCATTTAGAGACACTTGGGGACAGCGCCCAGGGAATAATGGTTTTCAGGGCACTGCCTCCAAGCCAGTTTCTATGCTCCTTATCTATCCCTTAGTCTAGGATACATTTCAAAAGATGCCTCAGCCAGGAAGCCTTCTCTGATTATGCGAAACCCAATAAAATCTAACAACCAGCCCTCATCCTGTCTCCAACCTTTTAGATCATAAGACCTGACACTGGACGTACTTGGGAAGTACCTGCTGAGTTAATGCATGACTTGACACGTTAATGTGCATTTACATCATGCCATCACACTGCATATGTCTGAATAAAACTTGTCTCTGTACTCATCCACGTGGCCTCTTGCAGAAACTGTTTTCAAACTTTTAAAAGTAATGAGATTTTTACATTAAGAACAAGAGTAACAACACAACAACAACAGTAAAATCCAAACTGTTCAAAAAGACCACTAATATGTAGTGTTGTGAGGCTGTGAAGCAACTGGAGCCCATTGCTGGTGGGAATATAAAATGGTGTGATGACTCACAGCCACTTAACATGCACTGACTTTATGACCCAGCAGTTCCATACCTGGGTATTTACCTGAGAGAAAGAAAACATAGTCCACACGAAGATTTGGACACGAATGTCTATAGCAGCTTTATTCATAATAGCCCCAAACTGGAAACAACTCAAATGTCTATCAATAAGAGGGACTTCCCTGGTGGCGCAGTGGTTAAGAATCCGCCTGCCAATGCAGGGGACATGGGTTTGATCCCTGATCCGGGAAGATCCCACATGCCGCAGAGCAACTAAGCCCGTGCGCCACAACTACTAAAGCCCTCGTGCCTAGAACCCATGTCCTGCAACAAGAAAAGCCACTGCAATGAGAAGCCTGCGCACAGCAATGAAGACCCAACGCAGCCAAAAATAAATAAATAAAATAAATAAATTTATTTTAAAAATGTCTATCAATAAGAGAATAAACAAATAGTGGTACATCCATACAATGGAATACTATTCAGCAATTAAAAAGAGAACAAACTAGCCTTACATACAAAAGCATGAATGAAACTCAAAAACGGGCTGAGTGTAAGAAGTGAGACATAAGAGAGTACACAGAGCACGTTTCTGTTTATTTGAAATTCTAAAACGCAAAAACTAAACCTTAGCGACAGAAAGCTGATCAGCGTTTGCCTAGGACCTGGCATGGGGGTGGAGGATTGACTAGAAAGGAGCAAGAAGGAACTTTTTAGGGGAGATGGAAATGTTTTGTATATTGATTGTGGTGGTGTTGATTATGTAGGTGGATACATTGGTCAAAACTCATTAAATTATACACTTAAAATGGGTGCATTTTAGATGTAAATGATATCTCAATAGAGTTGATTGCGATATCAAATTTTAAAAAGATCTCTGCCCACGGGACTTCCCTGGTGGTCCAGTGGGTAAGACTCTGCGTTTGCAATGCAGGGGTCCTGGGTTCAATCCCTGGCTGGGGAGCTAGATCCCACATGCATGCTGCACCTAAGAGAGTCTGCATGCCACAACTAAGAGGAATTCCACATGCCCCAACTAAGAGTCCACACACCGCAACTAAAGATCCCGCATGCCACAACTAAGACCTGGTGCAACCAAGATAGACAGAAAAATAAATAAATAAATATTTTTTAAAAAATAAAAATTAAAAAAATCAAAAGATCTCTGCCCAAATGTCAGAATGGATATTAGAGTTTATAAGACAAAAGATAATAAAACAATAGATAGCATGCTTTGTAGCCCATAATTCTTCTTTTTTTTTGTATTTTTAAAAATTGAAGTATAGTTGGTTTACAATATTGGGTTAGTTTCAGGTGTACAGCAAAGTGATTCAGTTATATATTTTCTTCAGATTATTTTCCATTATAGGTTATTATAAGGTATTGAATATATTTCCCTGTGCTATACAGTAAACCCTTGTTACTTATCTATTTTATGTGTAGTAGTTTGTATCTGCTAATCCCATACTCATAATTTATCCCTGCCCCCCTTCCTTTTTGGTAACTGTAAGTTTGTTTTCTGTGTCCATAAGTCTGTTTCTGTTTTGTATATAGATTCATTTGTACTATTTTTTAGATTCCACATATAAGTGATTTCATAATAATATTTGTCTTTGTCTGACTTACTTCACCAAGTATAATATTCTCTAGGTCCATCCATTTGCTGCTGCAAATGGCAATATTTCATTCTTTTTTATGGCTGAGTAATATTCCATTGTGTGTGTGTGTGTGCGCGCGTGCGTGTGTGTGTATACATATATCATGTCTTCCTAAACCATGTCCATTGATGGTGTAGCCCATGACTTATTTTTTTCAAGATTTATTTATTTATTTATTTAGGCTGCACTGGCTCTTAGTTGTGGCACACTTGATCTTCGTCTCGGCATGTGAACTCTTAGTTGTGGCATGCATGCAGGATCTAGTTCCCCAACCAGGGATCAAACCTGGGCCCCCTGCATTGGGAGCACAGAGTCTTACCCGCTGGACCACCAGGGAAGTCCCCATAGCCCACCATTCTTAAGGGGATGACTGAAACGGGGGTGATGGTGGGGCGACAGACGGGGTTCTGTGATCCTGGCTCAGTCTTAGCCGTGAGGCCTTGGGCAAGCCACTTAACTTCAGTGGAGACTCAGTTTCCTCACCTATAAAGATAATAACAATACCAGTGTATTAGAATGATGACTTTTTGTGTTCCCTATCTGGGTCACAGAAGAAGAAATTCCGAATCTACCTTATCTGACAAATTTGTATTGTTCAGCCTCAGGTGGAGCCATGACTTCATCTGAAAAAACTTGCCCTGTCCCAGAGGAAGATAATTATAACACTAGTGCACCCTTGCAGAGCATTCTCTCTGTACCGGCACTATTCTGAGCATTCTCCATAATTCATGTAACCCTCACAACATTCTATGAAGCAGGTACTATTTTAATCAATCCCATTTTACAGACAAGGAAACTGGGGCCCAGAAAAGACAACAGTTATTAAGGGACACAACCCGGATACCAACCCAGGTGCTTTGGCCCAGAGCCCACGCTCTTAGCCATCAAGCTATCTTGTCTCTTGTTAACAAAAGCATAATTTGCAATAAAGTCAGGGAAAGGAAGTTGATTGAGAAATACTAGCTTTATACAAACTTAAATGTGAACAAAACCCAGTACCTTTCTATCAGCACTTTTACAAAAAATAGTGAAAGGTGATTTCATGGTGGTTTGGAAAATCCTGCTCTGTTTCTAGTTTCAATTGCTGTGGTCTTTCTGAAGAGCAGGCTGGACCTACTAACAGGAGGAAAAAGAGATCTAGTTAGGGAGACCAGCCCTCCTGGGTTTAGCACTGAAAGTTCTGTGTCCCAGGATACCCCCTAGTCCTGGTCGCCCTAGGCTAGCTGTTCCCCAGCGAAATAACCCTGAAGGAAAAGAAAAGCTGTGATGTGACCTGGATTGGGCTCCTGCCTCCCTCTCCAGCTCATTTCTCACCACTCTCTTCCTTGGCCAGGCTGAGATAGTTTTAGTTCCAAAATGGACCAGACTCTTTCCCTTCTGGGCGTGATTCCTGCTGTTTCTTCAGGCTGTTTCCAAGCCCTCTTTGCTTGGTTCACACTCGCTCCAAACCCAACCAGACTGATGAAGTTCAGCAGGTACACACCGATGTGGCCACACCAGTTGTTAAAATATCCACTTCCAGGACTTCCCTGGTGGTCCAGTGGTTAAGAATCTGCCTTCCAATGCAGGGGACGCAGGTTCGATCCCTGGTCGGGGAACAAAGATCCCACATGCATGTCGCAGCTAAGTTCACGTGCTCTAGAGCCCATGTGCCGCAACGATGTGGCCAAAAAAAAAAAAAAAAAATCCACTTCCCTGAGTGTAACCCTCCCCATCACTCTTCCCCAGGAGCCAGCCACTAAAGGGTTAATATCAGGCACACTAAAGATCTTCTAAAAAGCTGCTCCAGCACAAGGACTAGCATCTCTCTGCAGCCATACCAGTTGTTAAACAATGTAAATATCATCCCTGATTAAAACTATGTAAAATGTGAATTTATATAAGCAATGCCAAGAAGAGAATTTGGATGTCATTATTAATTGAATGCTTGTTTATTGGGTCCTCTTTTTGTAAAGTTGCTAATGTTCATAATGATCATCCTCATCATCAAAGGAAAACACACACTCTAGCGTTAACCCCAGGGAGTTGAGTGGACCTCGGTGGTCTCAGGCCCCAACTTCTATTCAAGAGGAGGCTTTGGGCCAGTGGAGCCAGTCTTTGAGGAGAAGTAACTGAGGATTTGGCTGAACCCAGGGCTTGGCCATTTGGACAAGTGCTTGTGACATCAGGGAAGGTGGGGCTGCCTGCTTCTCAGTCTCTTTATCATTTGGCAAATCATGCCTCCCCATTCATTTATTCATTCCACAAAGAGTTGATAAGCTCCTCCTAAGTGGGATGCCACTGGACTGGGGCAGTAAGAGCCAGAAGTTGTATGAGACCCTCCCTGTTCCCAGCTGCTTGAAGTATATGATATGCACACAGGAAACACATAACGTTCTCAAAGTGAGAGAAACAGACAATGAGTTTAGAGAAGGGAGGTTAATGTAGGGTAGGGCGAGGTGGGGAAAGAGGTGAGGCCTGTTTTGTTCATCCACGTGCACTCAGCACTTTCCACAGTGACTGCCCCACAGTGGGTTCGAAAAGAACCTCATGGAATGAAGGAATGAATGAGAACAAACTATTCATAATTCTGCCATTCAGAGGTAGTCATTGACATGTTGGTGCATTTCCTCTTTTTTTTCTAAATATACGACAAATATATTTTTTAATTTCAGTAACTTTGTAAAATTTATTTATTTTTGGCTGCGTTGGGTCTTCATTGCTGTGCGTGGGCTTTCTCTAGTTGTGGTGAGCAGGGACTACTCTTCGTTGCAGTGCACGGGCTTCCCATTGCTGTGGCTTCTCTTGTTGCAGAGCATGGGCTCTAGGTGCACGGGCTTCAGTAGTTGTGGCTCATGGGTTCTAGAGCGCAGGCTCAGTAGTTGTGGCACACGGGCTTAGTTGCTCCGCGGCATGTGGAATCTTCCCGGACCAGGGATTGAACCCGTGTCCCCTGCATTGGCAGGTGGATTCTTAACCACTGCACCACCAGGAAAGCCCAGTAACTTTTTTTTAGTGTAAAATAACATGTTCATTGTAGAAAAAGGAGAGAAAATGATGATAAAGCAACATAATATTAATTGCTAACATGTGTTTAGTGTTCATTATATATCAGGCTTCCCACCCAATGGCGATGAATCTCCATATTTTGGTCTATGTCCTTCATATAGGACTCTCTTTTATTCTAACTGTACACTTAAAAAAAAAATACCTGGGCTCAAACTGTTTATATAATTCTGTATCATTTAACTTTTTTTTTTTTTTTTTTTTTTGCGGTATACGGACCTCTCAGTGTTGTGGCCTCTCCCGTTGCGGAGCGCAGGCTCAGCGGCCATGGCTCACGGGCCTAGCCGCTGCTCCGCGGCATGTGGGATCTTCCCAGACCGGGGCACGAACCCGTGTCCTCTGCATCGGCAGGCGGACTCTCAACCACTGCACCACCAGGGAAGCCCTAACACTATTTTTAACATTTTCCTACATCATTGGAAGTTCTCTTAAGGATTATTTCAGTGGCTATTTATCCCATCCTGGGGGTATACTGTAATTAGAGGCTGTGGGAAGCCAGCAGGGACTTACTTGTACAGTCTATCCAATGGCAAACAGGGATTCACTATAGGTTTTTTAGTGGGAGGGTGACAGAATAAACTTGTCTTAGGAAGATTGAGCGCACTAGAAATGAGCAAAACAAAGCCAGGGAGGCAGGCAGGAGGTGATTCTTTGCGCAAGGGATGCTAAAAGGAAGAGGGGCGTCAAGTACTTCACGAAAAGGACTGAGGACGGGGGAGGATTGAGAGGAGGGAGTCCAAGTGCATCGGAAGGTTTGGAGAGTATTCGGCTCCAACTCCTTCCAATTCATTAGCTTGAGAGAATTGTGCTACGTGATCAGAAATAAGGAAGTTAGAAGGGGAACTCTGTTAATGAAAGGAGAGGGGAGTTCTTTTACATGAACGTTTTTAGCTGGCAACTCCTGAAGGCAGTTAAAAAAAAGAAAAAAATACTGGCCAGGGCTTGAGTGCAGAGTCTGGGCAGGAAAGAGTTGTCTGAGGGGAGCAGTAGCAGTTGGGATCAGGTAGATGGAGACGGGGTGGAGAGAAAGACAGGGAGAAGCAAAGGCTAAGCAAGGCTGGATGCGGGACAGTGGGCAGGGCAGGGCGGAAGCCCCAGAGGCAGCCTGATCCTAGAGACAGATGGCATGGAGGGGCTGGAGGGCTGACTAGCAAGATCCTGTTCCCCTGGCACCAGGAGGCTGACTCAGCCCAGGCCGCTGACTTTGCCGCCAACTCTCTCCCAGGACACAAGTACACCGAGTAGAGAAAAACCCAATTAATTAACTGGAAAGCCTGGTGAGTGTGCAGCCTAATTATTGTATTATCATCAGTATGTTGGTAAATAAGTAGTGTTCTTCCCAGGTTTATTGAAGTATGATGGACAAAGAAATTAAGTGTTAGATATAAAATTCTTTTTCTTGCATCCTCTTTTTATTTCAAAGCTTTCTGACCTGCCCATTGAGTCTCTGGGCTCCTTCTGAGTAGCAAGCCTGATTCGGAGGCTTTGGAGTGGAGTATGCAGAAGAAATAGAAAAAGACTACATGAGGTGCATTTCACTCACAAAGAGCCTGTGCACTGAACTTTTTGAGTAAACTCTTTCTTTTTTGTTAATCCCTTTTTCAGCAATAGGAAAATCATGGTGGTGGGGTACGGGTAGATTTCTTTTGGTTTATTCTTACTGAGTTGAGGTTTTGCTGTAGGTATTCCAATGTATGCAGTAATTTTAAATAAGATATGGGCTTAACAGAAATGCCTAAGAATTTGACCATACCTGAGTGTGAACCTGTGGATTGCTGGTTCTGGGACTGTCTGCCACTTACTAGCTTCTTTGATCTTGAGGCTAGTCCCCTCACTTCTCTGGGCCCCTGTATACTCCCCCCAACACCCCTCACAGACCCCAGCAATTGCACTTGGGTATCATGTGAGATAGGGCAAACTAAAGCACTTTTACAAGTCTAAAGCTCCATACACCTTGTGTTGGACACTTTGGAAACAAAATGTTATGACTGCCGTGATTCAATGTCAGGGCCACGTTTTAGTTTTGTTTTGTTTTTCTGCTAATTAAAACTATTTTATTAATCTTACACTCTCCCTAAGCTAGCTAATTTTTTTTAACTTAGGGCTTAGGTTTTTGGGGTTTTTTTTGATACAGTTGACATACAATATTACATCAGTTTCAGATGTACTACATAGTGATTTGACATTTGCATATGTTATGATCACCATAAGTCTAGTAACCATCTGTTGCCACACAGTTATTCCAATATTATTGACCATATTCCTTTTACATCCTCATGGCTTATTTATTTTATAACTGGAGGTTTGTACCTCTTAATCCCCTCAGTATTTCACTCCCTGCCACCCTCATCCCTTCTGGCATCTACCTGTTTGTTCTCTGTAATTACGACTCTCTTTTTATTTTATTGTTGTTATTTTTTAAAATATTTATTTATGTATTTATTTATTTGGCTGCACTGGGTCTTAGCTGCAGCATGTGAGATCTAGTTCCCTGACCAGGGATCGAACCCGGGCCCCCTGCATTGGGAGTGTGGAGTCTTAGCCACTGGACTACCAGGGAAGTCCCTATTTCGTTTTGTTTTGTTTTTTAGATTCTACATATAAGTGAGGTCATACGGCATTTGTCTTTCTCTGTCTGACTTATTTCACTTAGCATAATACCCTGTAGATCCATCCATGTTGTGACAAATGGCAAGGTTTCATTTTTTTATGGCTGAGTAATATTCCTTTGTACATATATACCATATCTTTATCCATTCATCTATCATGGACACTTAGGTGGTTTCCATATCTTGGCTACTGTAAATAATGCTGCAATGAACATTGAAGTGCATATATCTTTTCGAATTATTGTTTTTGTTTTCTTCAGGTAAATACCCAGAAGTGAAATTGCTGGTAGTTCTATTTTTAATTTTGGGGGGAACCTCCATACTGTTTTCCATAGTGGCTGCATCAATTTACAATCCAACTGATAATTCACAAGTGTTCCCTTTTCTCCACATTCTCACCAACATTTGTTATTTGTTGTCTTTTGATGATAGCCATTCTGACAATTGTGCTTTTAATTTGTATCTCCCTTATGATGAGTGATGTTGAGCATCTTTTCTTGTGCCTGTTGGCCGTCCATGTGTCTTCTTCAGAAAAATGTCTATTCAGGTCCTCTGCCCATTTTTTAGTCGGGTTGTTTTGTTTTGGTTTTTTTCTTCGTTGAATTTTATGAGTTCTTTGTATATTTTAGATATTAACCCCTTATTGAATATATTGTTTGCAAATATCTTCTCCCATTCAATAGGCTGTCTTTGTTTTGTTGATAGTTTCTTGCGATGTGCAAAAGCTTTTTAGTTCTATGTAGTCCCATTTGCTTATTTTTGCTTTTGTTTCCCTTTCCAGGAGACAGATCCAAAAAAATATTACTAAGACCTATGTCAAAGAGCATACTGTCCATGTTTTCTTCTAGGAGTTTTATGGTTTTAGGTCTTATATTTAAGTCTTAATCCATTGTGAGTTTATTTTGTATATGGTGTGAGAAAGTAGTCCAGTTTGATTCTTTTGCATGTAGCTGTCCAGTGTTCCCAGCAGCATTTTTGAAAAGCTTGTCTTTTCCCCATTGTATATTCTTGCCTCCTTTGTTATAGATTGATTGTATAAGCAAGGGTTTATTTCTGGGCTCTATATACTCTTCCATTGATCTATGTGTCTGTTTTTGTTCCAGTACCATACTTTTTTTTATTAGTTTTTTTTTAATTTTTAAAATTTATTTATCATTTATTTTTGGCTATGTTGGGTCTTTGTTGCTACGTGCGGGCTTTCTCTAGTTGCAGCGAGTGGGGCTACTCTTTGTTGCGGTGCGCGTGCTTCTCATTGCAGTGGCTTCTCTTGTTGCGGACCACAGGCTCCAGGCACGCGGGCCTCAGTAGTTGTGGCACAGGGTCTCAGTAGTTGTGGCTCACAGGCTCCAGAGCGCAGGCTTAGTTGTTGTGGTGCACAGGCTTAGTTGCTCTACAGCATGTGGGATCTTCCTGGACCAGGGCTCGAACCCGTGTCTCCTGCATTGGCAGGTGGATTCTTAACCACTGCACCACCAGGGAAGCTCAGTTCTTTTGTTTTTTAATACACTTTATTTTGGAACAGTTTAGATTTACAGAAAAATTGAGAAGATAGCACAGGGTTTCCCTGTATCTCACACCCAGTTTCCCCCATTATAAATATCTTACATTGTATGGTATACATTTGTGACAATTAATGAACCAGCATTGGTATATTATTATTAACTAAAGTTCATATTTTATTCAGAATTCCTTGGTTTTTACCTAATGTCCTCTTTTTCTCCCAGGATCCCACCCAGGATCCCACATTACATTTAATTGTCATGTCTCCTTAGGCTCCTCTTGGCTGTGGCAGTTTTTCAGACTTTCCTTGTTTTTGATGATCTTGACAGTTTTCAGGAGTACTGGGCCAGCATTCTGTAGAATGTCTCTCAGTTGGAACTTTTCCGATGTTTTTCTCATGATTCGGCTGGAGTTCTTCAGAGGTAAAATGTCATTCTCATCACATCACATCAAGGGTACATACTATCAACTTGACTTATCAGTGTTGATCTTAATCTTGATCACCTGCTTGAGGGAGCGTTTGTCAGGATTTTCCACTGTAAAGTTATTTATTTCCCCACCCTTTTCAGACTGTCCTCTTTGCAAGGAAATCACTATACACAGCCCACAAGATTGCTGGTTTACACTCCTCCTTGAGGTGGAGTATCTACATACATTATTTGGAATTCTTCACAGGAGATTTGGCTATTATCCCCCATTTATTTATGTATTCGGTCATTTATATCAGAATAGACTAGCAGCTATTTATTTTATACTTTGGGTTATAATCCAATACTGGTTTATTTTGTCGCTCCAATTGTCCCAGATTTGGCCTTTGGAAGCTCTTTCAGTTGGCCCCTGTGTCCTCTAACTTATCTCCACCTTCCTGTTGTTTTGTTTGTTTGTTTAGCACTTCCTTACTTTCTGTGCTCCAAAATGTTCCCAGGCTCATCTTGTATATTTCCTACTCCAATCCTAAAATCAATCATTTCTACAAGGAGAAAGTCAAGGCGACGTTTTAGTCTTAGCAAATGTGTATCTGACTGGAAGTTGGGACAGACAATCCGTCAGGTGGGCAGGAATAAGACTCAAGCCACCCTCGGGAGGGGACTCTCCCAGCAGCAACAGCCAGAATTACAAGCCCTTAGCTGAGAAATAGATGACTCACCAGCTCCCCAGGTTGTCTCCTCCCTCCCCCTCTTGCTGACAAGACTGTCCCTAAACCAGCTCCGACAGAACGACCTAGGTTCGAAAGTGTCCCCACCCAAGGGGCCAGTGAAGAATGGCCTGTTGCAGGCCAAGTTAGGGCTTTAACCATAGCCAGCTGATACCTCCCCCCATTTGTGTATTACTTATACCCCTTCTACCTGCAGAAAGAATTAAACAGGATTACCTTCAAATTTCAGCTACAATAAAACTATTAAAGCTTGGGTAAAAGGACAAGAGTGCTGTGAAGAAGAGCGCGCGCGCGCGTGCGTGCGTGCGTGTGTGTTGGGTGTGTATGTGTGTGTGTTAATTTTGTCCCAGACACCTGGGCTGAGGCAACTTCCCCAGGTTCCCTGAATAACAGATTGCTAGCTCCAGAAGGACCTTAAGAAATAAATATGCTTCACCTGGCATTTTATAGCTGAGATGGAGCAAGTGATTTCTCAGGAATCACACAGCTAATGAGCTGAAGAAGTAGGAATACTGGGGCACGTCTCTTGATGTCTAGGTCTTTCAAATTCCCATTCTTGCCTCCCTTTCCAGGAGAGCAAAAAGAATAGCTTTTAGACCTCCTGGGTTATACAATGGCAAGACAACACTTTGAGGCTTCTTTCACTTGCCAGATGAATAAACTTATGTGGATGTGTCTGAGAAGTCATTGGGGGCTATAGTTAGGGGTTATTAGCATCCCCAGACACTCGGACATAGGGAATGCAGGATGTAGACATTGGGATGCAGAAGTGGATACTGGGGATCCTACCATTTCCCCACAGTCAAGCTTTAAATGGTTAAATCAGCAATGTTCTAGTTGTCCTCAACTTTTGACCAACAGTGGGGGAAAAAAAAGAAAAATAAATAAAAACCAGGGGTCCTGAGACTTTTTTCAAGAGATTTAGAGATTTTGACTTAGGGATTTTTATACTACCAACTGTTTAAGAAATTGGATTATCTCTTTTCTTTAATATCTGCCTCCCAACACTCTCCCTTCCACTACTCATGAATGAGGTGTTTTCAAGGATCTTTGTGTAGGCTGAGATCTTTGTACGGGCTTGGAATGCAGAGAAAGCATTCTGGGCCTGGTGTCACTTGGTGTGGCTGCAGTAAAGAGACGAAATTAGCATCAGGCTATTTTTCACTTGCTCTCTTGGTGACCTTCTTAGGGCTACCTGGGATATCTTGTCTCTGTCTGTAAACTCCTTCTAAGGCAAGGACAGTGCGCGGCCCAGAACAGCATCAGCAAATAGTTAATTACTCTGTGTTTTGATGATGATGATGAAGATAATATTAGGAACTTTGGGGATTTAGAAAATGTTCAACTGGAGGACTGTCCTTGAAGATCCTCCCCAGCTAGCTTCTCCAGCACCCTGATTTCCTTTAGAGGAGCAGAGTGAAGGTGTTTAAAGCCTGCCTTCAGGCTGAGTCTAGAGGACGCTCTTCGGTGGAAGGGGGTCGTTAACATTCCTGCCTGCTGAGTTCACGCCTGCGTGTATCTTCGGCCTCTTCATGATCTCTATATTTTAAAAAAATAATTCATTAATTAATAAACTTATTACCCAGACTTTTTTATACTCGTACAGACATGTCTAGTTTTTTGTTTTAATTTGAACAAAGGTTTAATTTGAACATGCTGCATTGTGTGTTCTGCAATTTGCTTCTTCCTCCTAACAATAAATCCTGGATATCTTTCTCTGCCAAGATACCTAGATCTGCCTCATTTGGGCGAGTCTTTGTCCTCGTACCTGTGTGATTCTCCGAGCGTCATTTTTTGGCCTGCCTCTCTTTCTCGGGGTGTGAGAGATTGCCTGACCTCTTGCGGTACGCTGCAGAGGGAGGTCCTAGAGGAGGCCTGGAGGGTGGGCGGGGCCCGAGGCCGCATGGGATATGCAGATGAGGTAGGCGGGGCCCCCCATATACCCGCGGTTAGCTGCTGGCGGGTGAGCCGGGTCTCGGCAGATTCAGTCAGAGGCAACCTACGGACCTTGCTTCACCGAGCACAGCGGAGCCTGGTACCCGGCTGTCCCGGGAGCGGGCCATGCCCCCGCGGGAGCTAAGCGAGGCCGAGTCGTCCCCGCTCCGGGCCCCGACCCCTCCGTCGCGGCGGGGCAGCGCGTCCCCAGAGCTGGGCATCAAGTGCGTGCTTGTGGGCGACGGCGCCGTGGGCAAGAGCAGCCTCATCGTCAGCTATACCTGCAATGGGTACCCCGCGCGCTACCGGCCCACAGCGCTGGACACCTTCTCCGGTAATTTCAACGGCCCCGGCGGCCGCGTGGCAGGGGCTGGGGTTGTGCACTGGGGCTGGGGCTGGCGCTGAGGCGCGAGTGCACTGAAACCGCCGGGGAGGCTGACGGGAGCAGGCCCCGAGGTGGCGCTGGTGAGGCCTGGTGGGATCCTGGACGCTGTAACTCAGACTTTCCCCTGCTCCTCCTCTGCAGTGCAAGTCCTGGTTGACGGAGCCCCGGTGCGCATTGAGCTCTGGGACACAGCGGGACAGGTGAGAGGAGTAGGGAGCGGCCTCTGCTGGTCTGGGGTGAGGTGGGCTGGAGGCTGGGAGGACCCCAGATCCATCAGGAATGGAGAAGGCCTTGGGCCCTTAGTTACGAGTCTCAGTCTCCAACCTCAGGTGGCAAGCGGATTCCCGCGTCCAGGGGCAGGGAATAAGCCTACTAATGGCCTGGCCTTTCCATCCCAGGAAGACTTTGATCGCCTTCGCTCCCTCTGCTACCCGGATACGGATGTCTTCCTGGTCTGCTTCAGCGTGGTGCAGCCCAGCTCCTTCCAAAACATCACAGAGAAATGGCTGCCAGAGATCCGCACTCACAACCCCCAGGCGCCCGTGCTGCTGGTGGGCACGCAGGCCGACCTGAGGGACGATGTCAATGTACTGATTCAGCTGGACCAGGGAGGCCGGAAAGGCCCCGTGCCTCAACCCCAGGCTCAGGGTCTGGCCGAGAAGATCCGGGCCTGCTGCTACCTGGAATGCTCTGCCTTGACGCAGAAGAACTTGAAGGAGGTGTTTGACTTGGCCATTCTCAGTGCCATTGAGCACAAAGCCCGGCTGGAGAAGAAACTGAACGCCAAAGGTGTGCGCACCCTCTCCCGCTGCCGCTGGAAGAAGTTCTTCTGCTTTGTTTGAAGAGCTGTGGCAGCAAAATGATCAGTAGGCCAATGGCCACAGACTTCTAGAACCTGGGGCACGGGGCCTTTGAGGGACCTGCTGGCAGGGCCACGTCACCCCCGTGGGACTCAGTTCCCATATGAACACTGTGGCAACACAGCCTCCAACTGCCCACTCTTATGTGCCAGGGTGAGCCTAGGGCCTGGAGGAGAGAAGGCTCTGACTTGGTTTTCTGTGGATTTCTCTGACTTGGATTTCTCAAGTACAGAGAAATCCCAGTACTTTGATTTTCATGGGATGATCCTAACAGTGTCAGCTCCCTCCAAGCAGTTTGGGATCCAATACCCAGTCTCTTCTCATGGGCCCTTAGGTCAATCTGGCTGAATTAGGACCACTCCTGGTGGTCCCCACCTGCTCCTTGGCACAGGGGTGAGGAAGAGCCTGGGGAACAGCTGGGCATCTAGGAGGGCTGGAAGGCATCCGGCCCTGAACTGGAGAGAAGTTTAGGATGGATTGGGTAAGACGGAGGTCAGTGAGAGATTGAGAGGGGTCCGAAAGTAAAGGCTTGGAGCCTTGGGACTGGAGGCAGGCTGGGGAGGAGGAGGCAGATGAGAGGGCTAGGCTTGGAAGGAAGAAGAGAAAGAAGGAGAGCAGAGAAGTGGGGCAGCTGAGGAGCAAGGCTGCCACCTGGGCTGTCCTCAACCCCCAAGGCCAGGGAGGGTAGGGCTGGTCCCTGGGAAGAGCTGGGTCTCAGTGCTCCCTAGGCACTGCCCGAACTGGCTAGGCCAGGAGTGGGGCAGGAAGTGAGAGGCAAGGCCCAGCAAGAGGAGGGGGAGGAGCTGCAAATTGGAGCCTGAAGAAAGAAGGGGCTTTCTCCAAGGTCACAACCTAGAAGATAAGGCAGTGCAGAGTCTGCAAATAAAGCCTTAAGTTTCTGAAGCTGCTGTCTGTGTCATTTCCTGCAGGAGTCAGCACACTGGTCCCTCAAGGCCCAACAGTTTGGATGGAGGCAGGTTGAGTACCAAAGGAATGAGGCTAGATCGAAAGGTGCGGGCTGGACTAGATGGGACAGTGTGATGGGAACTGGACTGGGGGGGTGGGCTGGGGGCTCCCCGCTTGGGGCTTAGCTGGTTCCCAGGAAAGCTAGCGTGGGAAGCAGCCTGGAAACGGGTTTCCCCAGGTGTCAGCGCCAGAGCTGCTTTCCCATGACCTCACCAGGCGGGTGGTGCCCCTCCCCTCTCCTCCTCCCTTCTAGAGCACAATGTTCAGCGCTGGGCTCTGGGGCAATCCTGAGCCTTCTAACCTTCCTGCTCTGATCCTTCCAACAGTCCACAGGGCCCAGGGTCTCAGGTTGGAGTGGCCCTCTGGTTCAGACCCTGAGCATGAAAGGACCCCCATATACAGCTTAAACCTCAACCACTGGCCAAACTTCTTGGACTTGAGTTGGTTGGACCCAGTCTTCAGCCTTAGCACTCAAAGTCCACATAAGGACCCAGTGAAGGTCTGGATGCCAGTTGTCAGCAACTTAAATTGAAGATTGGTCCCAGAAATCCTTTGAGAGTGAGCATTCATTGATTGAGGACTTGGAGAGGAGCAGGGATCCAGAGAACATTCCCTGGAATTGGAGCTGGAAGGAACTTTAATGGGCATATTTGTGGGGGGCGGGGCACCACTTTATTTTACCCATAAGGAAAGAGAAGCTCAGAGAAAAACGGTAATATCGCAAGTGAGATATTATTACTAAGTGGCTACAAGAGCACTTTGCAAACTCCAGAGTAGGTACATGGGTGTTATTCGTGTGGAGAGGTATTTCCTGGGACACCTGGAACACCTGCTAGGCAACTAATGGGCCAGGTGAGCACTCTGTCCCTGTGCAGCTCCCTCTGCAGGAAGCTGTGTATGTGAGAAACAGCATATGGCTGAGGGACAGAAACCCTAGCCAAGTGAAACCTCAGATAATCCCCAAGTTTAGTTTTACCCAAGACTGTCCAACTTCTGTCCCACCTGGGCCCACCCCCCAGAACTCCAGCCACCTGTCTCCTTTTGTCCCCTTGCCCCCTCAGGTGGAGGTGCTGAGCTGCACCATTGCAGCCAGGTCTTGATGGGGGTCTCACACCCCTGCTCCATGGCCTGCCATTACCTCAACCCAGCCTGACACACTCCCTTCCTGGTTCAAGTTCAGGCTCTAGCATCAACCATGACCTTAGGCAATTTTTTTTTCCTTCTCTGTGCCTCAGTTTCCTCATTTGCAAAATGAAACACTCAAGACTCTGGATTAGAGGTTTTCAAACCGCTCCGAGGGGACTTAAGAGGTGCCATGGGTCAGGGGAGGAAGCCTCATTAGGTGATCTTTGGGCCGCCCCACCTCCAACTACTTCCCTAATTCTCTAATGGTACCAGCACATCCACGTCATTATGTCTCCTCTCCTGCTGGGTCACTGAGCCTTATCAGCCTCGCTCCTACATCTCTGCCACTGCCGCTTCCCACTCCAGTCTCCCTAGCGCTGCTTCCTTATCCTCTGGCACCTCCCTGACTCAAGACTGTTAGTACCTCTCATTGCCTGCAGTGAACTCCCAGCTTCTCATTTAAGCACTCAGGACCTCAAATCTGACACCAGCCCGGACAAGGCCAGCTTGTCCCAGTGATCCCCACTCCCTGATCCCCAATAATTTTTTACTTCTGACTCCAAGTCTGTGCTTTTGCCAAATCCTCTAGAAAGTGCCCCCACCTCCCCCCACCCCCGCAATCCCCCAGATGCGCTGTTTCTCCTTTAACCATCTTCCAATCAATACTCCCCTTCTCCAGGACCTGTATTACTGTCCTCACTGCTCTCTTGGCACATTGAAGGGACACCGAATTTGGTCACTTGCTCAGGCTACATCTCTCCAGCTAAACAGACAGAGAAAAAGTCCTACTCATGCCCATGGGCTCCCACAGGGTCTTGAGCTCAGGCAATGTTTGCTGCTGGCCATTAAGTGCCTAAGATGAAAAAGCCAAGCAGTGTGCCCTGTAGGGGATCCTGAGGATAAAGTTCATCTCCAGGTTTGTGTCACTGAGGCCTGAAGACAGCCCTAAAGAGCAATGGCTTGCTGGAAAGGCCCTCTGAGGCACGGGGGCCCAAGCCCGTGCAGAGCAAAAGGGATTTACCTCTGGTTCCAAAACCATTGTCTCATTCTGCTTCTGTTTCTCTCTATAATGCGCCCTCTCTCTACTTTTCTGGGACTGTTTTTACCTCTTTATCTCTCTTCCATTTGCCTCTTTTCCCCTGCTTTCTCTGCTCTTGAATCTAAATTTAAAGGAACATTGATTATATTAAATGGATAAGTGTATGTTTCTTACATATTCAGTCTTACATTAGTGCTTATTAATGTAAATTATTTTTAATATCTCTGCAACCAACTCTTAGCTGATTTTTTAAAATGTCTATTTTCTTTTTCCATAATAAATGCTTATAGAAAAATTGGAAAATCTGAAGAACTAGAAGATTGAAAATGTACTAATAGTCTTTTTTTAAATTTTATTTACTTATTTTTGGCTGCATTGGGTCTTCGCTGCTGCACGCGGGCGCAAGCTACTCTTCGTTGCAGTGCGTGGGCTTCTCATTGTGGTGGCTTCTTTTGTTGCGGAGCACGGGCTCTAGAGCGCAGGCTCAGTAGTTGTGGTGCACGGGCTTCGTTGCTCCGCAGCATGTGGGATCTTCCTGGACCAGGGCTTGAACCTGTGTCCCCTGCATTGGCAGGTGGATTCTTAACCACTGCGCCACCAGGGAAGCCCAGTAATAATATTTTGATGTACTTCCTTTCAGTCTTCTCTTCTATGCATATTTTTGAAATATTTCTTGTGATTATGCTGTATATACAATTTTGTATTTGGGTTTTTTTTTTTATTTTAACCGTTTTTTCATGTCATTATTAACTCTGACCAGAATCTATAACCATATATGTATGTTTGTTTACTATTTCACCCTGACCATAATTTCTTCAACTAGATCCCCATTGGGGGCATTTAGGTTGTTTTCCTTTAAATAGTTTTTTTCTTTTATAAATGAGACTATATCCACAGTTGATTATTTTTTCCACCATGAGTTGGTGACCATCTACAGAAAAAAATGTCCTTCATCTTTGGCCTGGAGAGAGGGCCCCCATATAATCCCAAGTGGCACTTATGAGGGAACTTGAGTTTCTGTGTCTGTGTGACTCGTGGGGAGCTCTTTCTGTTGGTGCATGACTAGCAGATTGTGTTCAATAAATGCTAACTGATGACAAGGTGTGTATATATGACATATTGGTTTTCATGTACATTCCTCTGTGTCCCTGTTTTTGCTCTTGTGTATTTCAAGTGGGTATTACCTTTGTGCAAACCTCTGAATCATTCCATATATGTGCAAGTCTGTGTATCCATGTCTGTAAATGTGGGTGTCTAGGTGAGATGTGTATAGCTCTGAACGTGTATGTCTGTGTAGCCACACAATGTCTGCCCTTAGGAGTGTGTATTATACACAACTCTATGTGTGTGTCTGGGTGTGTGAGTTGGTCTCTGTGCCTGTGGGTGCACATCTAGGTTGGACCTCGCTTCTTGGGGGCCGTATGTTTATGTGTCTGTGTGTGCCCTGGTTCAGTTCTGTGTGGGTCTGTGTGAGGGGTCTCTCTCCACGTGCATCTTTGTTCTGGGCATGCGTGCTAGGCCGGTGTGTAAGTGTGTGCACACCTGAGGGAGCTGGGCCTGGCTTGCTTTCCCCCTGGGAGCAGAGTGGTGCCCAGGGCAGAGGTGACACACCCTCTGAGCTCCTCATTTTCCTGGGAACCAGCCTGGGAGAGTGAGTGAGACCGAGAGCAATCTGCGTCAGGAGCACCAGCCCCTTTTGCAACCAGCCCAGGCCCCAGGCGGGAACCAGGCTCTCACAGGTCAGACCTGCCCACTGTGCCTGGCTGCCGGGAAACCCAGCTCCCAGCAGGGCTGCACTGTCAGCGCCCTGCTTGGGCCTGGGCCAAATCCTCCGGGGAGCGGAACTCAGCCGGCCGAGGAGCCACATTAGTCACGCTATGGCAACAGTAGGGAGTGACTTCCCAGGCCTGGGCAGTGCTGGCTGTCCCAGGAAACCACCGCTTTCTGTCCCTGTACGTGGCAATGCTTAGGCAGCCTGGTCTCCTCCATTATCGCCTTCCATTCTTACAACCTAACTTCAAGATGGGCCAGACAGCTCTTATTAGCTCCAATTTTCAGATGAGGAGACTGAAGCACAGAGCCACACGACCAAGGTGAAGCAGATGGGGCTTGCACCTGGGTCCTGACCCTGGGCCCAGGCTTCTTTCTGCTGTGTCACCTGGGGGGCTCTGCCCCCTAGAAATGGATCTCTCAGAGGGCAGGGCTGGGAGGCATAGTTTACGGGACAGATTAGGTTTTCCTAGGCTCGGGCAGAGGGAGACAGGGCTGGAAGTGGGATGTGAGGAGAGATGTTAGCATTGAACTAGGCCTGCCCTCCTAGTGGAATGTTCTCAAGGCTTCCTCCACTGAACAGATTTGTTCCCTAATTGGGATGACAATGGAATTCATTGTCAGACTCAGGATGGTTTTGAGATTGTATGCGAACTCTATTAATAACCTGGGTTTATGGTCACCCCACACATAACCCCTCTGGAAGGCAGAGCCAGTCACTGGCCTCCTTGACTGGCCAGCTCTGTGGCTTCCTTGACCCCTGCCTGCACCAATCTGCTTCTGTCCCCAGGTGTCCAGATGACTCCCTGGCCCCTTGGCAGTGAGGGGCAGCAGGGGAGCCTTGGGCGCTGTGCTGCATAGGGATTCCCTGGGGCCCCTTGAATCTGGCAGAAAAACAAGTAGCCTGACCCAAGATTAGTTTCCCCCTCAGATCTGTATTCTCTGTGACCATGTTCCGCTGCCTCTGCCCATCTTCCATTCCCCACCCCCAGGACCCTGCACC